TGTTCCAGGCGGAGGACTTGTGGAGGAGTCTAGGGGGGTAAGGGGGTTTGGATAGGTTTGTTATAAAGGAACAACATAGAGTGCGACGAACTTTCGGACCGGCGCAGTATGGGGACCTGAACCAGCATCCCCTGACCTCCCCTATAATAGGGATTTGGGGTTTCGGGCGTAGGAATTAGGATTCAGGGTTTTGGGTTTCGGGCTTAGGAGTTAGGATTTGGGGTTCAGGGTTTAGGAGTTAGGATTTAGGGTTTGGGGTTTAGGGTTTAGGAGTTAGGATTTAGGGTTTGGGGTTTAGGGTTTAGGATAAGATCCCTTAATTAAGGAGGATTGTATTAGAACTTAAGGTACGGTTTTTGATTGAGGGATTTTGGAAGGTCTGGATCATCATCAGTAGTACTGTTCCTGAAAAAAGGTCTAGTTTCAGAGACCCTAGTTATGCTGTTCGAACCATCCAGGCCTTGACATTTCACGGGGCCCTCTTGTCACGATAGACTTGCAATCCCTAAACCCGAAACCCTAAACTCTAAAAACCTAAACCCTAAACACCTAAACCCTAACCCTAAACTGTATCAGGGTCTCAGGGTTCGGGTCTAAGGGCTTCTGGTTCAGGGTTTCGGGTTTAGGGTTTAGGGTTTACGGTTTAGGGAGTAGCTATCTGCTACATTACAAGGTGTAGGTCTAGCTTCTTCGCCCTCGCTCGAAAATCTTGATACATGTTTGGCACAGTACCCGAAACCTTGACATACCCTTCCCTACACCCTAAACCGTATGAGTCTTATGAACCCCAAAACCCCACAAGCCGAATAACCGTTACAAGCCTGGTAAGTTGCATACGCCCTAGACCATAAATCCCGTTGCTACAGCTGCACGCCAGAAGAATCATCGAGTCTTCGTGCTGGCCTGGAGGTCGTGGAACTTGCTGCAGTTTATTGCACCCCAAGCCCTACACCCTAAGCCCTAAAGCCTAAAACCTACACGACCCTAAACCCTACACCCTAAGCCCTAAAACCTACAAGCTAAACAACCTAAACCCGAAAACCTACCTACGGCTCTTTTGGGTTCAGAGCACAACCTGAAAACTCAGACCTCCTCGGATGCCGAGGATGTGTCTGCTGCTCCTCTGCTGATGATCTCTTTGCAGCCGTCCAGACTATAGTCATGAGGTCCAAGGACGGGTTTAGGGATTAGGTTTTAGGGTTTAGGGTTTAAGGGTTTAGGGTTTAGGGTTTAGGGTCCGGACTATAGCCATGCCGTCCTAGGACGCCTTGCAATTCGGTCAGCCTTGGGCTCTGCGCGGCATGAACATTAAGGTGCCCCTTTCTTTTTTTATCTTGACAGCCGCACCTAGTCCCTTTGGAATTCCAGTTTGTGTTTTTTTGTTTTGTGAGTTCAATTCAGCTTCGTGAATGGATATTGCAGCACTTGTTGAGAGACTCGGCTTCAGGGTAGTATGCTTCTGCTACGGATCTGCGGAAACGTGATGATCTGTTTACACAGCCATGCGGTTTGTGTTAGGGGGGTCGTGCCGGAGGTGTTGCAGGGACAGTCCCCGCCTAAACAGGGTTTAGGGTTTAGGGTTTAGGGTTTAGGGCTTTCTGTATTGCAGCCGTTGGGAGCCAAATCAAATGCCGCTTGCTCGGAGGACCACCCATTTGAGCATGTGCTGGTGGAGTTGAGTGGCGTGGGCGAGCCAGAGGCACCCCTACAATAGGGGCCTAAATAATTGCCTATACTATTTTGGGGGGTTCCTTATTATAAGTATAGTATCATGGGCCCCTAAACCCTAAACCCTAAACCCTAAACCCTAAACCCTTAAGGCTTCTACATTACATCCCGAAGCCCCACATTCAGGTTTAAGGTTCAGGAGTCCTGAGGATGGCTATACCGACTCAGACTTTGGGCTTCAGGGTTTACATTGAGTCAATGTAACGAAGGGGCGTTAGTAATTACCTGTACTATTTCGGGGGTTCCATATGATAATTATAGAGTAAAATACCCCCAAACCCTATTCTAGCTATTATAGGCCCCTACATTACATTAAATCCTGAAGCGAAAAGTCTCAGCTGGTACATGAAAACTACGCCACAACCCCTTAGGTTTAGGGTTTAGGGTTTAGGGTTTTATGTGTGCGAGAGAGTGTGAAGCCGAGTGTGGGCTGGTAGGATTTCAGCAAAATTACCTATATTATTCTTTAGGGTTCCTCACTATATTTATGCCATAAAGTAGCCCAAAACCCTGTTCTAATTTATAAGGCGCCTACATTACTTGGGATCCGTTTCGGGTCGAGGCCGTCTGCCATGGTAGCGACTCAACAGTTGTTGTGGAGCTGGTCATGCTTTAAAGACTTAGTTGCCCAATACCCAACCTTTAAACTTTTTGGGTTCTTATAATTCAGTAGTAATCTGAAAGTTTAACCTTTTATTTCCCTAGCTTATTTGGGAAGTAAGAAGATGAATGTGCTTAGGGTCTATCGGGTTTAGGACCCGATGAAATCGAAGATGCGATGGCCTGGCGATGGGGCATATACCCATGTACGTTCTAGTAAGACTATGACGCAGCCAGCCTGACGACGAACGATGCGCATGAGTCCCGGTGAAAGCCTGCCCTGCCTTCCTGAACCCTAAACCCTAAACCCTAAACCCTAAACCCTACCCAACCAAAAAAAACCCTAAACCCTAAACCCCAAGCCCTGCCTTCCTGTGCTTTCCAGTCCGTGCGCCGGAATTGGGCGCTCGCCTTAGACTGCCAGCTCCCCGTGGCGATGCGCTCGGAGGCCAGGCTGTGGTTCGGACGTAATGTAACGGCCTTGCCCATAGGCCCCATAGTAGTTCCTTTTTGGGGTTCATATTTAGAATCCTATAAGGTAATCCCAAAAAGGAACTACTATGGGGCCTAAAGGGTAGTTCAATGATTAGAATAGGGTTTTGGGGGCTCCTTATTATAATTATAGATTATAGTAGAATGTACCCGCCAAAACCCTATTCTAATCATTGAGGCCCCTATATTAAGTCACCCTCCCCCAACTCAACATCTTTCTGGCCTATAGCCGCATACGTAGTCAGCACGGGATTGAGCGACAAGTCTTTCAGAGCCGTTTCGGATGTGCTGAGTACTTCCTCATGCCTACATCGCGATTTAATTCAGCCCGCAGCTCGGAATCACACACCTTCGACAGCCTAATAATATAGAAGCCTACATAATTACCAATATTATTCTTAGGATTCCTTATTATGAATATACTATAAAGAAGCCCAAAACCCTGTTCTGATTATTAAGGCCCCTACATTAGACTAACCTGATACAATGCATTGCAAGTTGGTTGTGGAAGCCTCATGTGCCAACCCTGTGTGTGAACGCTCACGCAGGTGGCTCGGGTGGTGACGGTGGTTGATGCCACACGGAGGCATGTTGATGAGTCTACCTTGTTGAGAAGATCTGGTCTTACTTAGGCGTGACTACTTCGGTATACTTGGGTCGGCATGCCCGGAGGCACGGATACATAAGGTCAACGAGATCAGTGCCTGCCTTACCTGAGTTATACAGCCTGAAGCCAACATCGGCTCTTTTGTGCTCCAGGTTCGATCCTATTTTGGTTGTAAACCCTCATCTCTAATTGCTGAGAGTGTGTGCGTGTGTGCGTGCGCGCGTATATCTACCTCTGCGTATGTATATATATATATATATATACACACACACATACATGTAGACATAGCTCTATATACATGCCTTTAATTTTACTCTTTCATGCGTAGAGATTGAGACCGGGCACGGTTCAGAATTTGGGAAATTCAGGGCTTTCTGTTCATACGCTCTGCATAGAGGATTGAGGGCTTTGGCGTGTTGCAGGACTGGGACATTTATGGTATTCATGAAATCCGGCGGATCCTCGCAATCAACATCGTATGATACTCTTCTGTGGGATCTGGAGTAGATTTTCAACAACGTGTAGCCTAAACCCTGAACCATTATAAACCCTAAACCCTTATAAACCCTAAACCCTCAACTCTAGACCCTTATAAACCCTAAACCGTAGAATGGGGGTTTGGGACTATAGGGCTTTGGGGTACGTTGTGGTCTAGTAACAAGAAGGAAGCGACAGAACCAGAACTACTAATTAAATATTCAGGCCTCGATATTGTGTGTGTGTGTATGTTGGTTCTGATGTCGACCAAGGCGAGCACATTTCCGTGTGATTGGCTGGATTCTCGACAGGACCCTCGACTGTCCGCTTTTGTGACCGATTCTCGCGAGCCCAAGCCATACCTATAGTCTCCATTGTGGTTCCTTCTTATGGTTTAACCAAATTTGTATTTTGGACCCGCCCCCGGCAAGGAAATACAGTGGAGACCATGGGTCAACCCTATTCTAACATTCAGATGAGTTTACAGTCTCAAGTCCGCAGATTTTTTGAGGCTTCCAAGTTTGGTTCCAAGGGATTGCTCACTGTGGCCAGACCGCAGACCGTCGTGTTTCGATACGGTTTAGGGCTTAGGGTCTAGGATGAGGTCGTATTCTCGATGCACTTTCTGAGAAAACAGCCAAAGGTACAAAGCATGCGCTGGCTGCTGCGATCACATCTAGCAAATGACCGTCACAGCACATTGCCCAGGCCTCACAAACAGCCTGCAATTCTCCTCCAAGTCCTGGAGGGCACCTCTCTGAACTCACATCCCTAAGCCCTGAACCCGAAAGGTTATATACAAAGTACTCAGCTTTCATGTGATGTGTGTTTCGGCCAGAAGAAAATGACGTCCTCACGTTTAAGCAGTATGAGGACGATATTTAAGCGGCAGTAGAATAATGCACTCTACGAGTCACTGGGCATAACCAGTTACTTACATACGTACATACAAACATGCATGGACGCATGCATGCATACATATACATAGATATATATATATATATATATTTATATGTATATATATATATATATGTGTGTATATATATATATATATGCACAGGTGTGAAACAGTATGGTGTGATAGCACATTAACAAGTGATATTAACTATACTTGTGTATATGCATGTGTAAACACGCGTGCAAATTCAAGATAACTCGATACACGAACAAGGCTTATGACTATTACATGATTAGTTACTTAATTAACCCCTTCATTCAAATATCGAAGCCGTCCATCATAAACCCTGTAAAGCCTTAAACCCTGTTTGCATCCCTTGGATCCTGAATCCTATAAACCGGGACCCTGTCCGCCTCATCCAGTGACCTGCATATGCCACTACCGTAAAATGTACAACGAAAGTTTCAACAAGAGGAGGGGCCACAACAGCTACCCTAGCTTTCGAGTTTCGGAGCAATCCCGGGCAACCGGCAACTCCGAAACATGATATAGGGGCCTTCATACTTAGAATAAGGTTTTGGGGTATATTATGCTAGAATCATAATAAGGAGCCCTTAAAACCCTACTCTAATTATTGAGGCCCCTATATTACCCTGTAAGGCCGCTATGCAGCACATCCGAGAGCCCCCCTGAGGTCTCAGAACCCCCCCTAAACCCCTAAACCCCTAAACCCCAAAACGCTAAAACCCTAAACCCTAAACCCTAAACCCTAAACCCTAAAACCCTAAACCTTAAACCCCTAAACCCTAAGCCCTAACAGTCGCAGAGCTTGCCGAGGCCCTGGAGCGGAACCGCCTCCCTT